TGCCTTACTACGATTGAGCAGTAAACCTCAAGACCATTGCGTCATTGTAAGCAAGGTCTCATCGTATCAAATTTATTTAGTTTCGGATATTCTTGTCAATTAACTTGTAACAAGACGAATTGGAAACAACGAGACTTCACTGTGCCATCGTTGATTGGATTTTTTTCTATATGTCGGATATCTCGTTTTAAAAGGCATATCACAAAAAGAAAAACCTTCAGTTTATCAAAAGTCAGAGTTGTAGAGGAAAATAGTTTCATCAAATATGTTCTATTTTGTTTCATCGTAGCAAAATAGTTTCATCAATACGGCCGCTTTGACAATTAAACTGCCAAATAAAACGATTTTTTAAAACCAAAGATATTTGTATCAGATATTTTGAAAAGTGGACATGGTAATTCTCATTTGTTTACTAGTGCCGTTATAAATTTCCAAACTAAGAAGTGCCGTCGAAATTGACTAAAACATTTTGTGTCTATTTGACCCTGGGTGGAGTATGAAGACATAAAAATACTTAACAAAATATTTAAATGAGCATCATCATGATCTTTATTATTAAAAATTGATTGGTAGACAAAACATTAAGTAGAGCGTTTAATAACTACTAGTGCTTTCCAAATGCTATTATTCTCAATACTCCCAAATAAAATTTTTCCAAAATATTGACCTAAGATATTATTAAAAAATATTAAAAATATTAAATAGGTAATTTTTTTATATACAAAATCAAAAATAAATTATATTAAATTTATTTATTTTTGTTAATATTTATCATTATTTTATTGGTTTTATTATTTTAAAATGATATTAAAATAAAACAATAAATTTAGTAAATATAATTTAAATTTGAAAATATTATTAAAAAGGTTATGTTATAATTTTATAAATATATTTATATTAAAACTAAAACCTAATATTTAACATAAGTTTATTTTTCTATTTGTTAAATAGTATTATAATAAAATAATAATTTAATAAAGAATAATTAAATAAAAAATATTGTTATAACTTATGACTAGTATATATATAATGTATTAAAATACATATAAATAAATATAATAAAATAATTTATTTAATTTTACATTTAATTATTCACAATTCTGCTAATCACTTATGCATATTAATCAGAGCATAGTGCTAATACTAATGATGATGTTATTCCATACTCCTTCTTTCTTATAAGCCAATGAAGGCCTATAACTGACTTAAGTCAATTGACTCCAACTATATTGCATGTGCATGTACGAAGAAGAACTTTACCCAACAACAACAAAAACGTGCATATGCAACATCGGTTGTACCTACTTAAAGTACTTATATTATATCTAAACCGATCTATTTTGATTAGACCGATCATCGGGTATGATTTCAAGGATCCAACATCATTTTAGTGTTGTAAACAGCTTCGTCAGTAATACAAGATTTGATCATTTATGAAGTGGTGACAACAGACCGCCCCAAATAAAAACTACTTACTAGCCGCAATTTTTTTT